TGGCTAACATCATACTTAATGGTGAAACACTGAATATTTTCTCTTTAAGATCAGGGAATGTGCACTCTCATCAATTCTACTCGACATTGTACCGGAGATTCTAGCCACTGCGATCTGGCAAAAAAGAAAAGAAAAGAAATAAAAGACATCCAGATTTAAAGAGAGAATTAAAACTGTCTTTTTTGAAGATGTCATAATCACCATGTAAAAAACCCAATGGAATTAGTAAGTGAATTTAATAAGACGATCTGGCAAAAAAGAAAAGAAAAGAAATAAAAGACATCCAGATTTAAAGAGAGAATTAAAACTGTCTTTATTTGAAGATGTCATAATCACCATGTAAAAAACCCAATGGAATTAGTAAGTGAATTTAATAAGGTTGCAGGGCACAGAATCCATATCCAAAAATCAACTGTGGATTTCCATATACTAGCTACAATCGGAAATTGAAATTAACAAAATGGTACGATTTAAAATAGCATCAAAAATATGAAATACTTAGGGATCGGTTTGATAAAAGACATGAACTACCTATACACTAAAAACTATAAAATATTGCTGAGAAAAATGTAAAAAGAGCCATATAATTGAGGAGATATGCCTGTTTATGGGTTGGAAGACTTGTTACTAAGGCGTCAATTTCTACATTTTCCCCAAATTATCTACAGATTGAAAGCAATCCCAATGAAAATTCAAGACAGCTTTTTTACAGAAATTGAAACACTGATTTTTAAATTCAAATGGAAATGCAAAGGGCCATGAATAGCCAAGAGAACGCTGAAAACAAATAATTGGAGGGTTAACCCCATCTGATTTAAAGCTATAGAGCTGCACTAATCAGAACCTCATGGTATTAGCATAAAGATAGACAAATAGATCGATGAAACAGAAGAGAAAATCAGAAATAAACCCAGGTATATATGGAAAACTCATTTTTTAAACACACATTCTGAGATACAATTTACATACAATAAAGTTCACCATCACCATAACATGAGAACATTTCATCGCCCGAAAAAGAATCCTTGTACTTATCTCCACCCCAGCCCTAGGCAACCACAATCTTTCCATCTCTATATATTTGCCTAGTCTAGACATTTCATATAAATGAGATAATCCAATACATGCCCTTTTGTAACTTGCTTCTTTCACACGGCATAAAGTTTTTAAAGTCTATCCATGTTATAGCAGTACTTCTTTCATTTTTATTGCGAATATTCCATCTTATGGATATACCACGTTATTTTTCTATTCAACAGTTTTTGGACATTTCGGTTGTTATTTTCCAAAGTGGCTATACTATTTTACATTCCCCACCAGCAATGTATGGGGATTCCAATTTCTCTACATCCTCACCAACACCTGCTATTATTTGTCTTTATTTATTATAGCCATTCTAGTTGGTGTGAACTGGTATCTTGTGGTTTTGATTTGCATTTCCCAATATCTAATGATGCTGAGCAGCTTTTAATGCGCTTATTAGCCATTTGTATATTTTCCTGGGAGAAATATCAATTCAAATCCTTGTCCACTTTTTAATTGGGTTAATTGTCTTTTTATTATTGAATTGTGGGAGTTCTTTATACATCCTGGATATGAGTTTTTTATCGAATATATGATTTACAAATATTTTTTCCCATTCTATAGTTGTCTTTTCATGTCCTTTATTGTTTTAATTTTGGTGAAGTCCAACTGATTAATCTTCTCTTTTATTGTTTGTTGGACAACTGATTTTTGATAAGCACACAAAGACAACGTAGGGCACAAAACACAGTCTTTTCAACAAATGGGTATCCATAGTCAAAAAATAAGGCTTGCTTATTTTTTGTTTTTATGAAAATTAACTCAAACTGATCACAAATCTAAATGTAAAATTTTAAGTGATAATCCTTCTAGATGAAACCTTTATGACCTTGGGTTAGGCAAAGATTTGCTAAATATGACACCCCAAAAGCACAATCTATAAAAAAGCAAATTGAAAAACAGGAATTCACCAAAATCTAAAACTTCTGCTCTTTAAAAGACAAAGTTAAGATGAAAAGACATGCCACAGACTGGGAAAAAATCTTTGCAGAGCATATATCTGATAAAGGACTTGTACACAGATTATATTAAAGAACTTTCAACACTCACCAATAAGACAACACAATCTTAAAATCTGCGTTTGAACAGACCACCCAAAACAAAATACAGATGGCAAATAAACACATGAACAGATGCTCAACATCCTTGGTCACTGGAAAATGCAAACTAAAACCACAATGAGATACCACTACATACTTATTCAAGTGGTTAAAATGAAAAAGACTGATGATGCCAAGTGTTGGTAAGAACGTAAAGAAACTTGAACCCTCATACACTGCTGGTGGTAACAGAAAACACTAAAACCACAATGAGATACCACTACATACTTATTCAAGTGGTTAAAATGAAAAAAACTGATGATGTCAAGTGTTGGTAAGAACGTAAAGAAACTTGAACCCTCATACACTGCTGGTGGTAACAGAAAACTCTGAAAACAGTTTGACAGCTTCTTTAAAAAGTGAAATATACACCTATCATATAAGCCATTCCTCTCCCAGATATTTACTGAAGAAAAAAGGTAATATATGTTCATATAAAGATTTGCACATGAATGTTCACTGCAGCTTTATTTATAGTAGCCAAAAACTAGAAAAAATCCTAATGTCCATCAATCTATGAATGGAAAAACAAACTGTCATACTGTATATCCATACAATAGAATAATATTCAGCAACAAAAGGAAATGAACTCTTGATACATACAATAGCAAGGATAAATCTCAAAATAATACAGCTGAGTAAAAGGAGCTGGGCACCAAAGAATACACATTATACAATCCCATTTATATAAAACTCTAGAAAATGCAAACAAATCTATAGTAACAGAAAGCAGACCAGTGGTTGCCTGGAGAGGAGGTCACAGCAATGGGTCTACCAAGGGGCATGAGGAAATTTTGGGGGATGATGGATATGTTAACTAGCTTGACTATGATGGTGGTTTCATGTGTGTAAACATATGTCAAAAATTATCAAAGTTCATACTTTACATATGAATGATTCATTGTACATCAATCATACCTGTTTAAAATATCTCCACTTACAAGTAGAGAGGAAATGAGCAGCTCAGTAAGAAAATCATCTAAAAACATCAGAGCTTTGGTTAAGAAATATGACTGATATAAGATGAGAACTCATAAACACATGCTGATGAGGCCAGTTGCTAAAAATTACTTTGAAACAAATGAGCTATTGTTTTCTGAACAGTAATAAGTATGAGGCCAATTCACACTCATACCTCTTCAGTAAAACATAGACTGCTGAAAACTCTGGGCTTCTATTCATTTGTGGCAGGCTATTGACTCCAAGGAAATTACAGCCTTCCATTTTGTTAGATTAACATAGGTGTAAGTTGAAAACCACAAAGCCATCCTACAAAGGCTGAAAGATCAGGCACTGGAAAAACAGGCAAGCCATGGTAGATGTGGAATCAAGACCACCCAGATTCTAATCACAGGTCACCTTTAGCAAAGTGACAAGGCCACTTTCTACAAGGATTTTCTTACGACTGCTCTCCCACACTTACCAGTCTTTCCTGGGCTACAACTATACATCTAAATTGAGTATTTCTCAAAGAGTACAGAACATAAACATAGTTTTTATGGTATGATTCAAACTCAAATGCAACATAAAGTAGTAATAGGGTAGAGGTGAGAAATCTCATTATTGCAACTTGGGCAAAGGGATGTTTTTATGCCAGCGAAGATCAAGATTTAAAGGTATCTATGGCAGTGTACTAGGAATGTGAGAAAGATAATGTGGAAAATGGCCAAAATAGGCACACACATATCATAACTGGCTTTAAAATATATGTTGCCTTGCTCTCTTAAAATATAATGTGTGAAATAAGCTAGAGAATGAAAGGAAAAGATTAAAAGAGTAAAAAATTAAAAGATTAAAAGCCTAAGATCACAGGTGGTCTTCGTTAGGAATTTATATACATAGAGATCTTATTCCACAGAGAGCCAGTAAAGAAAAGTATTTTAAGAACATTCATTTGTTAAATTCAATAACTCCTAACCTTATGAAAAAAGCAACTGTTAAAAGATCTGTCCATAGATAATGAATCATACTGAGGTTTTCAATGATGAAATTTAAATGGAGTCAAGTGAATGATGACAGAAAAACTTATTGACTGGTATAATTCTTGATACCGGTAAACTAATAGCTAAGGAAGCACACCATCATTGTCTTTCAAGTGTTGACACCTTAGTTCTTGTTAATAGGACAGTTGCTAGAAATAATGGAATCAGCCCCTCCTCCTGTCTTCATAGCTATTCCTCTTACAGTCAAACTTCTTGAAAGTTTTCTAGACTTTCTGTCTCTACTTCCTCACCTACTCCAATATGGCTTTAAAATCCATCACTCCACAAAACAGCTCTAAGGTCACCAGTGGCCTACAGGTCATTTAATCCATCTAGCACATGCATTCTCAAGAGGGGCAATATCATACCCAACAAAATCTTAGATGTTACACCGTTTGTGGCCCTCCAAAAAGTCATAGTACATAAACAGAAATACATTATATTTGTGTATTAAAATTTTATGGGTGGGGTAATTAGGCAAAAATGTCTAAAAAGGCTCTGTAGGGGAATGATAATGAAGAAAAAGTTGAGAAACACTGATGCAGTATTTTTCAGTCCTCATTTTACTTGCCCTCTCAGAAGCATTTAACATTTCCTTCTTGAAACTTTTCTCTTCCTCAGCCTGTGTGACTCAATACTTTCCCTGAATCTCCTCATATACTTATTTCTCTGGACTATTGTTTTCTGTCTCCTTTGCAAGCCTATTTCTCTCCACTTTGGTCTTCCTCAAAGCTCAATCCCACACATTCTCCTCTTTGTACTCTATACCTTCTCCCCAGGTGACTTGAGGCACGACCTCTGTTTCAGTTACTACCCACTACCATCTGTAACTCACAAAGCTACAGCTCCGTCATAGATCATTCCCCTGAGATTCAAACCTATGTATCCACCTGCCAATTTGACATTTTGACTTGATGTCTCACAGATTTTTCCCTGGGAAAAGAATCCACAGCTTTGGTCAAATTCTCAGTTTAAGAACAACTGCCATACAGTAGTTTCAGAAGGGATCATAAAATCAAAAACGATAGTGCTAAGTAAAAAAAGTTGATATAAACTATTACGTAAACAAGTTTCTATTTTTCTCTAATGTCTTCAAGGCCTCTTCTATAAATATACCTTTTGTTGATACGCAATAGAAACCAGACCAAGTCAGAAATCAGCATGTCAATACATCTGTTTTTCCCAGAGCAATGACATAAATACATTGATAGTGATTCTCCAGTTATGCAAAAAGGTATTCTATAACCAGCCTCAGACTTTCAGTAAAAGAGATATAAGAATTTAAAAGATTGCAAAAATATATAAATAAAGATTGCAAATTGGCTTACAAACTTGCTATACTTGATATCTGCACAACTTAAACAAGAAGCAGACATTAATATGTATATTTCAAAGAGAATCCTGAAAATAAAGTGACATCACAGGAAAAATGCACTAAAAATATATTCTTATAATATATTCAACAACTCATAAACTCTTCTTTTTAATCAGTCATCCCCCATATCATAAGAGTGTATCACTAATTCTTTACAAAGTTAAAATAAAAAGAGACCTAGAAAAAGAAATCAGAATACAGAGATATTTGCACTCCCATGTTTATTGTAGCACTATTTACAATAGCCACGATATGGAAGCAACCCAAGTGTCCATCAACAGATAAATGGACAAAGAAAATGTGGTATATATATGCAATGGAAAAATGCTCAGCCATAAAAAGAATGATATTTTGTCATTTGCAGCAACATGGATGAGCTTGGAGGACATTATGTTAAGGGAAGTGAGCCAGGAATATAAAGAGAAATAAAATACTGCATGTTCTCACTCATATGTGGAAGCTAAGGAAGTTGATCACATAGCAGTAGAGAGTACAATGGTGGTTACTAGGGACTGGAAAGAGTAGGGGGAGGATGGGTAGTGAGAGGTTGGTTAATGGATACAAAAGTACAGCGAGATAGGAGGAATAACAACATCTCATGTTCTATAGCACTGTAGGGTGACTACAATTAACAACAATTTATTGTACAGTTTCAACTTGCTAGAAGAGAGGATTGTGAATGTTTCTAACACAAAGAAATGAGAAATATTTGAGGTAATAAAAAAAAATCAGTAGTTTCCAGGATTTCTGGGGATGAGGGAGGAAGGGAGGGTTGAATAAGTGGAGCACAGACGATTTTGGGGGCAGAAAAACTATTTTCTATGATACTGTGATGATCAGTACATGACATTATATATTAGGCAAAACCCATAGGACTGTACAATAGAAAGAGGGAACCCTACTATAAAATTAATGATAATATATGAATATTGATACATAATTGTAACAAATGTACCACACTAATGTAGCATGTCAATAATAGGAAAAACTAACTATATACGTGGGTGGGGGGAGGGAGGGTATGGGAACCATCTGTAGTTTCTGCTCAATTTCCCTATAAAACTAAAACTGCTATAAAAATAAAGAAAAAACAACAACAACCAATCTTCTAAACAGCAAAAAAAAAAAAAAAAAAAAAAAAAAAAAAAAAAAAAAAAAAATAATAGGAAAAACTAACTATATACGTGGGTGGGGGGAGGGAGGGTATGGGAACCATCTGTAGTTTCTGCTCAATTTCCCTATAAAACTAAAACTGCTATAAAAATAAAGAAAAAACAACAACAACCAATCTTCTAAACAGCAAAAAAAAAAAAAAAAAGAAAGAAAGAAAGAAAAAGAAAAAAAGAGAGACCTAGAACAAAAATAAAGGCTATCTTTGACTCTATGGATTCTTTCTTCCTGAGCAATTGCAGAAATTTGACAACACCAATACTTTCAAATAAAAGAAATTCTGCTTCTAAGATTAGGAAACAGGTTTATTTATTTCAGGAGTGAAAAACATGCTTGGTTAGAAAAATAACTTCTTGAGGAGGTGGAAGAAACCTGCCTCTTTGACACTAGAGGATTAAGGTCTAATCTAGCACAGTCTAATTCTTTGCCTGTTGATCCTGTTTTTCTGATCGACCTTTCTCTGTCTCTCCATTCCCTGATTCCAATCTTTCTCTCTGTCTCTCCATTCCCTAATTCTTCCTTGGTGATTTCATAAGTCACTACTAATAATAACTTAACATTTCCTACTGGAGTATCTACTTGGATTTTCTTTAAGCACCTCAAACCCAACATGCCCGAAACTAAATTTATCAGCTCCACCTCCACCTCCTTCCTGGCAAATCTGTTTAAGAGTACCCCATTTACCTGGTGGCCCAAGCCATAAATCTGAGACTTACTCCTAAATTCTCCTCTGATAAAATCCTATCAATTCTCCTAAATGTTCTTAAAAAACTACCTCTTCCTCTTTGCCTCCCTGGCCTTATCTTATGTGACAGGCCATGTTACAGACTTCAAATGTAATGGAGTCAAATAAATCTGGGGTTGAATTCCAGTTGTGTCACTTGCTAAGTATGATCTTAATCTTAGGCAAATTACTTAACCTGTCTAGGGCTCATTTTCTCATACGTAAAATTAAAAGAATAATAAAATCTACCTCCCAAGGTTATGAAATGAGTAAATGAGCTAATGCTTCTAAAGCACTCAATACTATGCCTACTACATTATAAACACTCAACGAATGGCAGCTATCTTGCAGGATTGTTTTATCAATCAAATGAAATGATAATCTGTGGAAAGCACCTGACATACAGCAAGGGCTTAATATATAATAATCTTTTTTAAAAAATTAATTTCATCTCTATTCTGTAAGTGCATTACTTCAATGATCTCCTAACATTTACTATGAGTCATATTATCTATTCCCGACAATGCCTATAACTGGGCTCCTGTTTTCAGGATAAAGTCCAAATTTCCTCTCACAACATGCTAAACCCTTTATGATCTTGTCTTTCCTTACTTCTTTTTTTTTTTTCCCCTTTTTTTTTGTCTTTTTTCGTGTCCGGCAACGGACCGCAACCCTCAGTGTCGCGCCCGTACCAGACCGGGACTGGCAACGGGATCGCAACCCTCGGCCCTGCGCCCGCCCCTCGCTCAGCCAGTGAGTGGGAACCGGTCTGTATGTGGGATCCGAACCCTCGACGGGAGCGCCACCGCACTCCCAAGCGGCGCACTGTAGCAGTGCGCCACCGGGCCGGCCCTTTCCTTACTTCTTAATGCTCACGTTTTGCCATTCCTTTAGCGCTAAACACATCGAATTCAAAGTACCATATTCTCTCATGAACCACTGCTTTTGCAATGCTATTCCATTCCTTTTGCCTAGAATTTCTGTCTACTCTTTCCCCAATCCAGCTCTGATTTTGTCTCATACTATTCCTACTAATCCTTCAAAATTCAGCTCAGAAAATCTTCCCTTTCCTTCTGCATTCCATACTCCCAATTCTTCTTTTAAAATACAGCCTCTGTGCTCCCATATATTCTCGTACTTTTTTTCTTCTAATAATAGCAACAACTAACATTTATTCAGCTCTTACTATGTGCCAGATCTGTACATTTACATGTTACCTCATTTAATCCTCCTGCCAACTTTATGAAGTTTATACCATTACTATTCTTATTTTATAAAGAGGAAACAGGATTAGAGAGAGAACTTTCCCAACCTTGCACGGCTGGTAGGTAACCCAGCTGGAACTTAAACACATATCTCTCCATGTTCTTAGCCACATGATATATTATCTGTAATGCTTAACATATGGTATTATAATAATCTACTTATCTATCTGCTTCCCCATTAGTCAGACAAATCTATTTAGTAAGATCCTTGAAGACTAGGTCATGTCCTTCCTTTCTTGTACCCTCTAAGTCTAGCATCATGTCTACCAATTAATAGATGCTCAATAAATAGCTGCTAAATGAATGGATGAAACCGTATCATTTGATTCTTATAACAACTGGGTGAGATAAAGCAATTATCAATTTCTGTTTGTAAAGCAGATGTATGATTATTCTAGAATGCTGCTAAAGTGGTTTTGCCTTCAAGTTAAAAAATATAATAACTGTCATGCAAAAAAGGTATAAATGCTTTAGTTTTTCAACAAGGAAAAGCCAAAAAATAAATTTAGTTTAAACACAAAATAACCACAGCAGCAGTGTACTGCTTTGATTAAATGAAATAAAATAATTTCCATTCTGCCTTTTATCTGATGAGCCTGTAAAATGCTTATATGTAGCACTATAGAACTGAAAGACTTTTTGATGCATATCAGATCACAATTATGGCAAAAAGATTATGTTATAGTAAGACAAATAGGGCCTAGTTATAAGAATAAACTTCCTGAGAGCCAACATCCATAGATTCTGAAATTGCTATACATGGTGATTATATAACTACAGTTCTAAAGAACATTAATAGAAAAGGTCCTTGAAATATTTAAATAGAATTCTGCCTAAAGACTACACTAAACTCGTAAGGATTTTCTCCAAGCCTCCCCCACCTCAGTCCAACACACACACACACACACACATACACATATACAAACACACACACTTTTTTATTGCAGCAGTTTTTGTCAGGTTGCTTTTAGGACAACGGTATTATAACAAATCTCAAGGGGAATAAAAAGCATATGAGAATTTAAACCATTCACAAAGGAACTATTCAACAGAAAAACCATTCTCACCAGCGGGTTGTCACAAAAAATTCAAGAGTTCTTGTATCCTCTACTACAAAATAAACAAGATATTTAGCAGCAAGGGGCCTCCTACAATGCAGATATTGCTTTGGCTTCTGAAGTCAAGCTAATGATAAAAAATTTGAAAAATTAAGAAATATAGAAAGGACAGAAAAAATGATTTTATTGTCCAAAGATAATTCTTTTTTTTTTTTTTTTTTTTTTTTTT